AGCAGAGGAGTGTCCGAGCAGCTGCACGTGCCCTGCCCAGAGCACAGGCACATCCGCGATGGAGCGGGGACAGGGCACACGGTGAACGACAGCCACGTCACTGAACGCAGCGGGCAGAGATCGGGGCTCCAGAACTCCCATCTTTCGCTCCTGCGGAGCTGCTGGGCTCCAGCCTCAGACCAGGAGAGGAGCAAAGACCCCAAAGCCTCAGCACAGCCAGGTGGGTGCTGCCGTGCGCCACGCCACATCCCACCCAGCCAAGGTGGGGCTGACTTCCAGCCCTGATCCCGCAGCTGGAGAAGGCAATCCCATCCCGGCCCTCACCCTGCGGGCAGCTGCCAGCGCTCTCCCAGCCAGGCTCTGCTCCGGCCGAAGGGCGCAAGGCAGCACCTAACCGTTCCGGTTCCTTAACAGCGGCACGCGGCAGCAAATCACCGCCTGTTCTCCTGCCTCCGCTCAGCCACACAGCCCATACAGATCCGTTGGGCTCCTACCTGGTGAACTGGGAAGTGAGAGATGTAGGCTGCTGGATCCGGGGACCTTGAAGCTTTGGCGATCTCCATACAGCATGCCAAGGCTTGCCAGGGCTCGTCGGTGTTCATCCACCACTTCCTGCCCTGGGAACAGGAAAGCACAGGCTGGTAGGAGCAGGCAGTGCTCTTGTGGCACTCCGAAGCGAAGGCAGGAGCCCCTGCGCTCCTGGGATACACTGGGCAAGGCACCTCCCACCGTGCCTCCAGTTCCAGAGTATCTCATCATGTTTTCGGACACAAATGTGCTATTTAGGAAACTCTGCAACGCTTTGTTTCCCTATTTCCACTCAAAGCGTTATATTGCAAAATGTTTGTGTCGAAACCTCCCAACCTGCCTGGGGTTAGCTGCCAGCTCCCGGAGCCCATGCGATTCCCAGTTCAGGGTCCCACCGCTCCGCCCCAAGGGTGAGCAGAGCCCTGCCAGCCGTTCCCCATGTACCGTGAGCGGGTGGTCAGCTGAGTCCAGGATTTCCTCCATGATTTCATTGGCATACTCCAGCCGCTCGTGCAAGGCGTTCTTCTTCTTCAGCCCCGTGAGGTTGATGAGGTGGATCTTCAGCCAGTCGAGGCCCTTGGGCCCCAGCGGCCTTCCCTGCGCGAAAAGCAGGATGGCGCGGGTGACATCGTTACCGAGGTGGTTGAAATAAGGTGGGCATGGGTAAGTCCTGCCTCGGAAGTCCATGTTGTGAGGAAACCAGAACACCTTGTCCCTGACGTAGTTGGCGATGGAGAGCTTATAGAGCGCGTCCATGCGCAAGCTGTGCATTTCCGCTGTCTTCTTCTTGCACAGCAACAACTCCTGCTTCTGGGACTTGCTCCCAGCAGAGGAACTGCTGGGAGCAGCAGAAGGCTTGGGCGCCTCAGAGATGGGCGGGGGGATGTCCAGCTTCTCATTGCCTTTGTCATTGAAGATGGAGATGATGATATCCAGCACTGGCTGGTTAATCTTCCAGGCGCAGTTTCCCAGCTGGTTTAGGGCATCCAGCACGGGGTGGAGGTTCACCGGAGGACACTGCTCCAGGAGCAGCTGGTGCTGGACGGCCCCATCCACAAAGCGCATCAACTTGGTGTCATTCAGGACAAAGGCACCGAAGTGGGGGGAGGTCCAGGGTAGCGGAGGGCACAGCATAGGAATGGCAGAGGAGTTAAAGGTCAGCAAGGTCTCTGCAGCGTCTGACACAATCTGGGAGAAGATGGGATGGGGCTTTAGCAGCCCAACCTGGAGAGGAGAATCAGAGAGGTGAAGGCCAGCAGCAGAGGGTTAGGGCTAGAGTCTGGAAGCACAAGTGGTCTATCAGCCACTACACAACGACCATGCCAAGCACTGACACCGTCTGCACAGAACCAGCGGCTCCTCCAAGTGTCCCTGAGCAGGAAAGGCAGCAGGGGGGGAAAAGCATTCCAATGAAGAGGTGACCTGCCCAGCCCCAGAGCCCCCAGGACAAGGCTCACCTGCCAGCTGCTGTGGAAGGAGTAGATGTGGTAGAGGACGGGGACAAGCCTGGGCTCCAGGCGAGGATTGAGGATGTTCCTGGGCACCTTGACAGCGTGCACCAGGATTTCCAGCATGTGCATGCCCAGGCGCATGAGGAGCATGTACGGCCAGCTGCAGTCCTTCAAGTTCAGGGAAGGTCCGAAGCCTGCTTCTGCTACCAGCTTCTCCCAATATTCCCGGGGCAAGTAGTTGTCAGGCTAGGAGATGGAAGGAGAAAATTGGGTCAGCCAGCCACGCTGCTCCCAGGGGGTTTGCTGGATGGGATCTCTGTACCTAGAACATGGCTCTGAGAAGGACCCTCCTGTATTTGTGTCCCTGTGAGGTCCTCCCTGACAGAGGAACTCGGGGAAGAACTGCTGATGCAGCTGGGGAAAGCCCTACTGCAAGAACCTGCTCCTGCTGCAGGCCAGGAGAGTGGTGCTGCAAAGCCCTTCCTCTCCCCACACCTCTGTGCTGACACCCTGTCCCCACACCATCCTGACCCTCCTTCCCAGACTGCGGCACTGCCTCTCCTGCCACGCCACACACACACTGGGAACGACCTGCTCACCCGGCCCTCAGCTGCCCCGATCCGTGGCCTTGGCCCCTTTCCCCTCTCCCGCCCTGCAAAGCGCTCCCTCCTCCAGCCCCAGAGCTCTCCTGCACAGGATGCCTGGCTCCAAGGGATCAAAACTCTGCTGATTTAAAACCTCCTGGCTCAGAGATACCCATCACTATGCCAGAACTGACCTGCCTGTTGCCACAGGGCAGGGGGTCTGCCAAGCACTAGACAGGGCCTTACTGGTTCTGGTGGCCTCTGCAGCAGCAGACTCCCAGAACCCGGACCTTGTGCTTGTGAGGCGGACAGACAAACTGCCTCGCCCCGTCTCCGCTCCGCCGCTGTAACCTGCGGGCCCCAGGACCCCCTCTCCCAGGTGCACCCACCTGGCTGTCCTTTGCCAGGAGGTTGATGTAGTCCTCATAGACCTCCCGCACCTTCTCCAGCTGGCGGCTGCGCAGCTTCCTCTGGGTGACGTACCTGTTGTAGACTTTGGAGCCCAGCTCCCTGGCCAGGACAGCCAGGGATTCTCCTTGAGGAGAGAGTGTGTTGAGGACCTGAGAAAGGGGAAGGCAAAGCGGGTCTTACGGAGGCAGAAACAGAACGACGAGGCAGAGAGACAAAGTACGGGGAGCACAGAAACATGCTCATTCCTGTGATGCTGAGCAGATGATGAGGAAGGAAACATGGCCAGGACAGAGCAGGGGCTTCTTCAGCTGCTTAGCACAGGGAGCAGACAGGACCTGCATCTGATAACCCAGGCAAACTTTGAGGCTGATGTTCTGATTCTTCTGGCCTGAGTGGGCATCAGTGCTTTGTGGCAGCCCTGTGCCATCCAGGTGGCCCCATTCCCGTGGCTTTGCGAGGGCAGAGCAGGGTCCTACCTGCAGCATGATGGCCACGTACTCCTCATCCGGCAGCAGGCACAGGTAGGGGTAGAGGATGTGGTACCCTGACACCGTCTGGAGCTTGGACATGCTGCGCTTCGACTTCTGCAGGGCCTGGAGGATGGAGTCGTGCCAGCGGGAACGAAGGACACCCAGCAGATTACGCTACGCAGAAACGGAAGGAAGACAGTAATGCTGTGGTGAGAGTGCGTCACCAGGGAGCTGCCCCCTTCCTTAGGCCACCGACTCCTGCATCCCTCCCACAGGTCCTGAGGGCTGAGCCGCCCCCCGGCCCTCCAGATGTGCAGCCCCCAGGCTCCCTGAGCTTTACCGCTTTAATGGCTTGCGGGGTCAGAGGTTTCGTTGACTCCACGGACTCGATGGTTACAGTGTTGTTCAGCTCCATCTCCAGCTGCTGCTGAAAGCGCTCCTGCAGCTCCTGCACGGAGAAATCCAGCTTGGGGTACGACACCATCTTCTCCTGCAACAAGAGGGAGACGTTAAGTGCCAAGAGCCAGATCAAGAGAAGACGTGCTCGTTCCCCTAGCTTCCCTGCCAGAGGCATGTGGTGTGAGTCCCTGCTGAAGGCACCTTTCTGGGACCTCTGAGTCCGGAGGTCTGACATCCCTGGCTAGCAAACACCAGGGAGTCTGGAGTAACAGGCCTCTCCAGAGGCTGCACTGTTCCTGTGTCATGGTCAAGCATCCCCCCAGGCACCCCCTCCAGCGTACAAAGGTCATCTCCACCCCCCCCAGCCAGCTCTTGGCTTCTCTGTTCCTCTGCAAGGTTGTTGGTAAGGCTGTTCACTTCCTCGGCACAAGGAGCTGCCTGGCAATCCATGGGGGCTATTGAGCAGAGATTGGCCTAAGAAGTTCTTCCCATCTTACAGTCCTGGACTGGACCTGAAGACACCCGAGAACACCGCTCAGCCACCTCCAATGCCTCCCCGAGCTGCAGAAACATGCCTGAGCTCTGTGGCTTACTTTGGAGTAGAAGTCCCGGAGCAGAGAAGACTTGCAGGTCTGGGGTTTGGGTGGAGGGGGCAGCTGGTAGTTGGGCTGGACAATCCTGATGGCCCTCAGTACTTTCTCCTTCTCATCTTGCTCAAACAGGCACTTTTGGAAGAGCTCATCCACGCGGAAACCATCATTCTTCAGCTGCTGCACATATCTGAAGAGGGGTAGATAAGACAGGGTTAATCTTTCACAGGGGACTCTGTGTCGGACAGAAATCAGCTCATAATGAAGCAGGGAACAAAGTTTTTCAACAAAAGACTAAGTATGGAGGAGACAAATGGGGGTGACCTCTTTTGAGAATCCGAGAGCCTTGACTGTATCAGGCTTCTTATTCCTCACTTGTGCATCACCGAGACCCATGTGAGACACACCACAGGACAAAGAGCCACTCATCCCAAATCCCTGGCAAAACCCCCTCCCAAAGCAGGGCCTGGGGGCTGGCACCCACCAGGAATTAGCTCTGAGCACAGGACAGGAGACTGACAGGTTGTTCCAGAGGTTCCAGAGGGCTAGAGGGGCCCCCCCATGCTGGGTGGTTCCCAGCAGCCTTCCTCTGTGCCATGCTCCATGCCAGGGCAGCTGCAGGAGGATGCAACCTCTCACACTCGTTGGAAAGGCTCTGACAGCCCTGGGGAGCGGGATGTGCCCCACACACTTGCCCTGGGATGCCTCTTCCCTTCTCCTGCATGCTCCTCAGCGCACGCTCCACGCAGCAACCACCGAAAGCCTTGCAGCAACTCGTGCCTGACCGCGCCAATGTCTGCCCAGCCCCAGATGGGGGAAGAATGGTGCAGAAACTGGCATGATGGGGGAAGAACGGTGCAGAAACTGGCATGATGGGGGAAGAATGGTGCAGAAACTGGCATAATTGGGAAACCCCAGAAGGCAAATGCCTCAGCCCAAGAGCATGACCGTCAGGCAGCCGAGCAGCAGGACGCTGTGCTGCGGGAGCACAGGAGCTCTCTGCCCGCCACACAGCCGGGACACAGCTCAGGGCTGCAGGAGCTGCTGGGTGGGAGCTGCCTCCCAAGCACGGCTCGTCCTGACAAGGTCGCCGGCCTCAGGTTACAGCAATCAATTATCCCCCCCCCCAGCCTGCACCTCCGCTGCGCAGGCGGCTGTCACCTTCACACTCGTGGGGAGCCCGAGCTCCGCCGCCGTTGGGAGCCCGAGCAAGATGTGGGTTCCTTCGCGCGCAAACATCCCTGCTCCGCTCGCCAGCCGGGACAGCGGGGAACCCCGGGGCTGGTCACAGCCTGCGCAGAGGGGCAGGGGACTGCGGTCACGCTCCGAGCGGGCACAGGAGTATGGCTCACAGGGCTGCAGCAGGAACAGCCTGAGCACCAGGAGCAGCCGCAGCGCCTGAGGAAGCTCTTTTCCCTGGAGCCCCCATCGCTGCCGGGGCCCAGACCCCCTGCAAGCGCCAAGGTCTCCCACTCCCTCCCCAGCCTCACAGAGGACGCTGCGGGACCGCATCCTCCTGGCTCTGCCGGGCTGGAGCCGGGCTCCAGGCACAGCAAAGCCCAGAGCCCCACCTGCTGACTGCCCAGCCTGCGCCAGGCGACACCGGAGCGGGGACAGGCAGATCGGGATGGCAGACGGAAAGCAAAATGGGCAGGAGGGAGCCCCTGGCAGCTTTGGGAAAGCACTGAGAGCCCAAGAGGGGACACACAGCCCCCTGAGCCAGAAACGTAACACGCTGTGAATCCTGCTGCGGCGTGCGCCCCAGCTGCACCTCCATGCGTGTGGGAGCAGGCAGGAGCTTTGGCGAGGGAGAGCTCCACGTCCGCGCAGAGCCGCTCTCCCCGAAAACTATCCCACAGCAGCCCACTTAAAACAAGTGACTCCCACCTTACACCCTCAAACGGACCCCACAGTCTGGGAGCAGAGTGAGAAACAACCTTATCTTCCCACTCCCAGCGCAGGCTCAGCGCCCCAGGCCGCTCCGCTGCCGCGTGGAATTGGGAAAGCACATTTAGGGGAATGGGAAAGCACATTTAGGAGAAGGGAAACGAGAGCTCGTACCCACACACACAGTGCCAGCAAACAGTTATGGGGAAATACAGTCCCCCCGGCGAGGCGTGGGGCTGACAAACCTGCGCGGGTGTGCCATGAACACCCGCCCACAGACAGCCCCCGGGGTGCCACCGCACCGCCGCGACACCCACACCCCCACAGGAAAGTAAACACCAGTCCCTCCTGCATCAGCTGGCTGGAAGTCACTCGCTCAGAGGCATCTGGGACTTGTTAGCCAGGCCAGGGCCACACGTGGCCAGTGATAAACCCCTGAACCACCCAAGGGTGTTTGTGCAGCACGAGCACAGCACCAGGAAGCTTCCTCCATCCTCCGGCGAGGCACGGCCCTTACCAGACCCAAGCGCCGCCCCTGGAGCCAGCCCGCCAGGATCCCGCAGGGCTCCTTCAGCTCCTTGCTTTGGGTCTGACACTTATTTTGCCCATGAAATCCATCCGAATCTCCTGATCACACTCCTCCAGAGAGCTGGCACCCTGCAAACCCAGCTGTTGGCTGAGCCTACCAGGACGGGCAAACTCCGTGGAGGTGCTGTAAGAACGAACAGAGCCAT